GCTTCTAGCTTAACGGAACACACGTGCAGGACAACAGACAAAGGTGTTGTGTTCAAGGCTATGAAAAACATAGCTTGCATTAATGAGCATGTACTGTAGCACGAGTGTGTGTCTTGTCAGCAGGTGGCCTTCTCATCACTTTCACAGTCACCATCTTGTTTGTACAGTAAAATATAGCCTTGTTGTCTTTGATATGAAATTCTGTTTCCACAAGGCTGTCCTTTGATTTTTTTTTCTTAGCTACTGTGGTTGTGCAGTGGTTGGTGAGGTGAAGTATGCGGGGGCTTTATCCAAATCGTGGAAGCTGCATTCAGATGGAGGTGAAACGCTACGGGGGCCATGTTAAAGAACCCCGGGGGGTCAGAATTGTCTGAAATCCTCCACTTTCGTGTACCTCACAATCACATTTTAGTTTGCGTACTAAAACCCCATAAATCTTTTGCTGTCTTGATCAGAATCGGAAGGAAACTATTTACAAATGACTACTGCCTTCTCGAATGTTTTACTTAGCTGTCTCCGGCGAGTATTGTAACACAACCCCAGTCGAAGCAACACAAATACATTACCTGTATCAACCAACACGAGAAAAAAAAAAATGGAGCTTTATTCAAGATTAAGAGGAAACGCATGCAATCTGTGACTTGGTGTGAGAGCTTGTCATCTTTATTTTGGGTCGGGGTTAAGGGAGGTTGTTTGGGTAGAGCGGGTTGTGGAAGGTGCCTATGTGCGGGGCTGTGCTGATTCTGTTGTTGTGGTGGTTGTGTGTCGCTTGTAGGTGTTTCACCAGTGGATTGATAGTCAGGTACAGGCGAGCTGCCGATGCTGAACGCTGCTGCGTAAGAATAACCATCTCTCTCTCTCGCACTCACTGGCGTGTGTGTGTGTTCCTGCTTGCCTCGAGTGCACTTGGCCGTTGCTGCTGCTGCTTTCTGCCGCACCCTTTCCTCCTTTGCTTGGGGGCTGCGCTGGCGCATTGACCGGTATGCCTGAATTGAACGTGTTAGGTGGCTCGCTAATGGTTAGTGGAGGCAGCGGTAGTGGTGGCGGTGTTAACGGTGACGGTGGAGGGGTCCTGCTGGCGCTGAACCACGGAAGGCATTGAAGAGCTCGTTTTTGAAAAGTTCGTGTTTTAACTGGGGCATGCTTGTTTTTTTGCAGCACAGGTAGTCTTTTCACTTGCTGTGTAAGTCATCTTTGTGAAACAGCTTAGACGTATAAAAATACACGACCTATTTTGCTGTTGAGCTAGGTGGCGATTGAGTTGTCGGGTTGCTCAGTTGTCTGGCATGCTTAAACAGACTTTGAACAGGAAAAAAAAGGCCAAACTTTTTAGCAGGAAAGGGTAAAAAGTGATCTTCAGAGGGGGCCTGCAACACTTTTTGAACATAGTCTGGGAAATGCTGCCGACAGGTTGTCATTTGCACCTATGAACATGTGAGCCAATCATTCTAGCATATCACGTAGCATGGAATTTACGGTTACATGTCTTAGTGTGCTAAAATTTGCTCACTCTTCTCTCAACAAATGATGATGTACGACCATTTGAGTTAGGACATTAGTTAGGCTTACAGCCATTTGCTTGCTTGAGTATGACGAGTGGCATAGTTGCCACAGCCACAGCAATGTGCTGCAACATGTAGGCTTTTCTCGATGTGATCCAGCAAACTTGTGATCAAGTTGAAAGGAAGCCGCGCATTAAAAAAGAGGATATCAAGGTTATGGTGCACGCTGACATATGGACGTAGCTTCTTGCCCCCCTCATCATTTTCCCTGTGCAGACTCGGATACAAGTGAAAAGCAGTGCGCACTGCATCTGATGGCCAGAGCAATGACGTGCTGTCGGAGATGATTGCGGAAGGCCATGGTTAGCCGTAAAAGTGGCGGAATTGATAGATGGGTGACCCCAAGTCCTCGGGAGTTTTCGCATGTGGTTGTCATGATGTCGCTGGCCTGGAGAGTTCTTACTGAGCGTATATTATTGTTGCAATGGAAACCAGGCGAGGGCAAATGACGCATATATCCTAAACGCCGCAGCAGTAGTTTTGGATCAGCCGCTCGCTGCTCTCTATTGGTGATGAGCCAAAACCGTCGTTTTATATCCAAGAGCAACGATTTTGTGGCTTTTTCGAACCAGTGACTTTAAAACTTCAACGCGCTGTAACGTTTTGGACCAGCGTGGTCGTGCAATTTCTAAGAGTCGCCACTGAGAATGATCCCCGAGACATGCATGATCAGGTTCGGTCGCTCTTGGTAATTGAATTCAAAAATGTTGATTGTGAAAGGATATGGTTGCCGAAGCAGGTTGGTGGCAGCCCCGGTAGTCCAAGATACCGCTGGCTTCGACATTGTTGTATCTTTGATTACAAATTTTTTCATGCCAGAATGCAAGGCATACAGTTGAATCCCGATATATTGAATCGAGATCACAAAAATGTTTCCTGTGTAGGCAGCGAAATCTATAAAATTTTTATATATGGTATTGAAAATATATTCAAGGAAATCGTGGGTTCAATGTACACAATAATTTGTAACATTTTGGTTCAATGTATGCAGGTTTAAATGTAGTAATTTCAGATGGTCTGAGTTCGCATTCGCACGTAGTGTGGGTAAGAGTTGGTCGCCCCCTTCCCCCCCTGGCTAGTGTTGTCACGGCTAATGGTTTTGCCATGTCTTTACTGAGTGGACATGAAAATGGTGGTAGGCTACTAAAGCCGGTGCCAGTGTAGTCACCAAAGAGCTCCTGCTCACACTGCAAGGCCAAAAAGCACTTGCCTCGTATTGCCCTTTCGTTCTTTTCTCTAGCAAGATTTTTGTTATTTTTCTACATTTGGTGCGAGGTGGTAGCTTTGCGGGGCACTAGTCTTGGTCCGGGGGGTGCACCACCAACCAGCCAGATTGTCAGCCCAGCCGAGTCTTATTTGGGGGGAGTTGGCACTGGCTGGTGTGTACTGCAACTCGGTCAAAGATGCATGCGTTTTCTCTCACTTTCCGACACACACGTACACTTCACGAAACACTTCCTTCATGTGTGTGTGTTTGTGCTGGGTTTTGCTCACTTGGTGCCTGTGGCACCACTTTTTGCGGTATTAGCTGTATGTTACGTGTGTGACGTTTGCTCTTGTTGTCTAAGGTTTCCTGCCGACGATTGTGTACGAGGACAGATAACATATGGTCTGCAGTCCTAGCTGCCACTGCAGCGCTCAGTTTTATGCATCGAGTGCAGCGCTGTGGAAACTAGCTGAGACTTCTTGCAGTAGAAGTGTTTGCACAACGAAATAGTTGGATTATTTTACTTCCCACTACGTGATCGTTGTTAGAGTAGAGACTTTTTAACTTTTCGTTGCGCCGGGTAATGCGAACAGGATGATCGTAATCATGCACCCGGGCATGCTCGCTTCGTTCTCTTCAACCTACGCTTTGCTCCTATAACACTGGCGCTGTCTTTCATCGAATACAATGAGAATGATGGACGTATCTGTTAAGCGACCAAAACAATTGTGTAAAATCATGTAAGAGCTAGTCGCAGGGCTGAAATAGCATGCCATCAAGTCTAATCACGCGACTAAAAATCACGTAACTAAAATGACATGAGGATTAGTCGCATGACTGAAATAACATCACATCGCGTAATAAGTAGTCACGTGTTATGTTCCAGCCAAGAGCCCTGTAACAGTTAGTCAGGCGAGGAAATCGTAACATTGCATAACAGGTAGTCCGTAATATGTCCATAGCCAAGTCTAGCCATACTTAGTCCTATTAGAGCGTCTCTGGCAAAAGCTTGGGATTACTAGCAAAACTTAGCGTGATTCGACACTAGCCTTGTGGTGGTGCCAGTCTTGTACCAATAGTGCAAGACGTACACTTCTTATTTTTCTTGTTTTTTGGACTGAGTAATGAATGAAGATGCATTGTGCACTAGAATCAAACAAACACTATGAACTGTATGGTTGTTAATAATTTGTTGTGGATAGCTAAGCGTCTTTGTTTTCATCTTGTGGCCGCCGTCATTAGTTCTGGTAGTAAGCAGCCAAGTGCGAGACGCACAGGCTTTCACATTTTACTGACCGAACTTTGCGCCTAGCTTCCACAGTGTTGCACCAGGTGTGTGGTACGGTGTACAGTTAAACATATCGTGGAATGTTTTGGTCAACATTTAGCCCACGTTCCAGCAGAGCCACGGATATTGTGTAATTTGGCAAGCTGCATAAACCATCGCGGTGATAAAGATGGTGTAAGACTGTATGAGCTGACGACTCCACAGGACAGGGCACGGGCCCATCTTTTTTTTCTTGACACATATGCTCGGCAAAGTTCATTGGCTGGTAGAATATGCAAAAAAAAAAAAGGCCTACACATTTGTGCCGGTGATATATGACTGGCTCTGCTGCCAACACTCTCTTGCCCTGAGATCAGTACTTCGCAGTTTAGGCTACAGCCTTATTTGTGTCTAATTCCTCATTTGTTGGAGGAAGAATAAACCATGCGGTAGAAGTCGGGCGGTGATGGGATTCAAAACCAGAAGCGATGTTGGGGTGTAAGGACTGTGCTTGGGCGTTGAGTCCCAGCGGTAAAAAGCAATGGTGAATGTCACTAGAAATGCAATTTACTTTTAAGGCCTTCTTATCCCGTATTGTGAGTTCTGGATCTTTGTTACAGACGTGATGAGCTTCCAGGGATCACTGTTCATTGGTAATAATACTCTGGATAATAATTATTGGCTGTTGATGGCTTGAGACTGGAAAGAAGCAATAATGTTGCTTTTCAAATGTGCTGTAACGTGGTGTAAAAATCAAGAACAGGGTTTCATGTTTATGTGGTAGTCTGCGAAGTATTTCTGTTACGGTTTCATTCCCAAGTGTGTTTGTTCAGTGCTCTCTTTTGATGTTGATGCAGTTGTGTGTGTGGTGCGTGGTTGCTGATCTGGTCGCCCTCTCTCTCTTTCTTTCTTTTTCCCGCCTTCTGCTCGGCACGGGCGTCTGCTGCACCGGCGGCTGACTCAGGATCAGACGGAATCGGCAGCAATATTGAAGATCAAGGAGAGCATGCAGGAGGAAGCCAAGAGGTTTGAGAAGGACACGCCCGCTGAGCCCCCGGACTACTTCATGCAATAACCGGGGGCCCCCCCGCCACCCCCGCCGCCGCCACTGCGCACGCGTGGCCGAGCAAAGTCAAAGCCGCAGCCGAAGAAAAAGGCCGCCACCAGGGGGCGCGGGAGGCGGCGCCAGCCACCGTAGCCATTCGTTCCCGTCTTTTGAGGACTGCCGCACCGCACGACCGGAAAAGGCCTGTGACGCGCCACAGGAAGGGCCATGTGTGACTAGGGGCCCCCCTCGGACGTGTCTTTTGCGGCCTCTTGATCCCTTGGTTGTGCCCTCCTGCCCTAGAGGCTTTTGGTTTCCCGTGACTCTTTTTTTTTTTTTTTTTTTGCGTCATCTGGCAGACCGTGGGCACCTGTCTGCAGTGACTCAAACTTGGGTGCGCGTTGTCGGTCACGTGACGGAGACAGTGTCGACCAACCCGCTGTCATTTTTCAGTTCAGAGAGCTCGTGCCCCGCCACGGCTTGGTTTCCAGCTGCTGCACAGTGTAGGTGCAAGTTCACAGGCATCATTGCATCACGTTGCCTGGGACAACAAAGCTGCCACTGACTCTTGCCTACTACAGTGCCGTAGCAAGCCATTGCCATGTCGATTGAGAGTTAGCCATTCTCATCTACGGTTGTGCAAGCACCATTCTTTCTTATAGTGCCCCCCTCAATTATTAACGTCCTTCCTCACTCGGTGCACACGGTGGTGGCAGTGCTGTGCACGTCCTGGGCAGCAGTTCGAGCCAAGCCTCGGCAGAGCAGTCCTTCACACCGGACAAGAGCTTCTGCTTACCCTACCCCGAGTATGTGCTACGTCGTTTTTCATTGGACCATGCCATGGGAACTGGGCGTGCGGTGGTGCGCTTGTGGTGACTGTGCGCGGCTGGAGGAACTGGCGGATGTTGGGCCTTCATCCCGGAGAGACACTCGTTACGCTTCTTCCTACTTTTTGCTGCAGTGTGCCCCGCGGAGTTTTTTTTTTTTTCTCGGTTTTGCTGGCCGTTGCATTCCTCGTCCCGGAGGAACTTTCTGTGGCTCACTTTCTATCAAAAAGAGGGTTGTTTTCCTGCTGGGCTGGGCGGGTGATGCATGTGGAGTGTTTTATTCTTGTCGGCAGCTGACAACTTGTCTATTTCTTTGGGGGCGTTGCCTGTTGCCCTAACGATGGTGTAGTTTCGCGGACCAGGGCTGAGTAACTGGTGCGAGGGGCCATCTGCAAATCCGCACTGTCATTCTTTCTAGCACAAGGCCAGGCATGGGGCACGGGATAGGGGTGGGGCGGGGCTGCCGTATTCGCTAATTTCCAAGAGGCACAGTCATCGTGTCTTGGAGTTTTCTACCATCTCGTTCTCAGAGCTGGTGTATGAGGGAAACATCCTCTCAGATCATGAATGCCCCACTGAGAACGCAAAGAGAGAAGAATGTCAAACAAAAAAGTCAGCCGTGGTTACTCCATGTAGCGTTGTGGTCGTTAGCAGAGTTAACCGGCAATGACGTTGTTTTTCTCCGCACTGTTCGTGAAACTGTTGGTCAGGACTGGCTTGCCACTGCAGACTGTGGCGGTTGCCGTTGAGTCTCCGAAACAACTTGTGACGAATGTTTGGTGTGGACGTAAATGGTGGGCGGTGCTGCTGTGCAGTTCTAGACCACAGCGTTGGACCACCAAGCTGTGGTGTGTGCATGAGCGTGCCGCCCTGTTGCATAGTGGAGGCGTGTGTAAGGACTTGGTGAGAGGTTGGACTTGTTGGTGGAGGCATACGTAGGTTTTGCTGGATGTGTAGGCTTTCTCTCTTCCCAGTTTTTGTTCAGCCACTTCAGCGTTACGGGTGGTGAGTTTACGCGACATATACTGGCACTTGAAAATCACCGTATTCTTTCTCGCCTTTTTCTCAATTGCCTGATAAACAAATGAATCGATGTTCATTTCACAGCTCGTTAAGGGCACTGTGGCAGCATCGTTAGCGGGAGTCTTTTAAGAGATGTACGCGAGCTTTTGGTTTTATCATGCTGTCTACCTGGGGCAGTATTAACATTAAAGGGACATCAAAGTCAAATAAAATTTACGTCAGAGTGAAAGCTCAATGTATGCCGACGTCTACAATGTTATCAACAGCAGTGCCCTACTTTGCCAAGAAATTAAGGTAAACGCACAAAAACAAATGCGCCACAGTAGGAGGTTTGCAAAACGGTCCCGATGACGTCAGTCAAACTGCCTACAATAATGACTAGTAATTGATTTAGCTGCACTAATTAAAGAACCTTTCGTTCATGAAGAAACGTAATGAAGTTCTGCTTGTTCATTTCTGTTTGATTCTTTGAAAAAATTACTGCCAGACGTCACTGTGGGGAATGGCACGAGCGGTTCAGAAATTCAATTTTCGTGTGGTTTTATACTGAACAGGACGTGCCATTTAGCGGGGTCCAGTTGAACAAACCATGCCTGCCTGCAGTCTTGAAGGTCATGGCCAAAAGCTGTTCAATGGCTGTCGTTGCTGCTGTGGCTCCCACTACTTTCCCTCTGTTACTATTGTAGTTTTGGCACCTACGCATGAATGCCGCACAATGTTTTGCATGGCAGCAGTGATGTCAAGAGGTTCCGGCGGGTAATTTGAAGTGTGCTAATCCGATGCGACCACTAAAACACGACTATATTTCAAAATAAGCCCTACCTTGGCACAAATGGAACACTACGAGGTTTCTGTACCACTATTTCAACAATCATCGTTGACTTAATAGTTGCCTTTAGTGTCCTTTTAAACATCTTGACGTATGGGCAGTTACAGGCAGTTGTACACCGGTATTTCCCTTGAGGATAGTCTTGGCGCTTTTCTCTACTTTTCAAGGCTGGCTTTTTTCCAAGCTGTAAAGAGGACTCTGTCAGTCAGTGGAGTTTGTTTTCCATTATTTTTTTTTTTCCGCGTCGCATGCCTGAGGCATTTATACATAGTGCAGCGTCGATTTTATGCCGCCGCTGCCATTTTGATCGTACAGAGGACCTCGTTGCAACAGGCAACGATCAGAGTCAGATGGGCACGCTTTGTACGTTGCCGCACATTGTTTGTGGGTCCAGAGAAGACGTCGCACAAACAAAAGAAAGGACGTAAAGAAAAAAAAAAGCACATATTGTGCGCAGACCACTGAGACTCTCTCAGAAGAAATCGACGAGGGGAAATACATTTTTTTTTCTTTTCTCCTCTGTAGAAGCAACTTGTAGGTGAGAGAATGTGAGCGCGTGAATGAGCGGCGCTAGTGTTCGAGTGGTGTCGATAATGAATGTGTGTATGTGTGTGCGTGCGTGAGTGCTTGATGTGCGTGTGGGTGGGTTTTCATGCACGAGTCTTGTGTGAATGCAACCTGAAGTGGTTTTTGGGGAATAGATTGTGCATGTGTACATAATATATGTATATGTAGGGGTACAAGGATTACAGAAGGTGTGAGGATTAAAAAAAAGACAAAACAAAGATGTTTAGAGAGAGTTCTACACTGGTTGCATTTTTTAGGCTTTTTTCTCGTTTTTCATGTTTTTTTTTCTTCCTGCCCCTATGTCCACGAAGCACTAGCGCTCCTGATTTGCCTATTCGCATGCAGCGCTTAATTCCTCGTCTCCGGCTGCATGTCGCATCGGCAGTGTCCATATCGCAGTGGCGGAACAACACTTTGTTGCGCAAGCTTCGTTCCCCGCGCTCTCGGTGATCGTCGATGCTGTCTGTTGCTTTCAATTTCTGGGGGCTGACGCAATGAGCTACTTTGCAGCGGACTACCGGACGGAGGTGTTGGCAAAGTTGAGCTAGAGCAGGCGGCGATTTGACTTCGTTGACAACACCTGGTCTCATTCAGCTCCACTGCATTTCTCGACGCCCCCTTCTAGTGTGTCACCTGTTGCCACCGTGCGAAGCAGCCGCGCTGAGTCATATTTTCTTGTCGCAGCGTTAGGGGGGGTGGGGGGCGAGAGGGGCAGTGCTGCGACTTACCTGGTTAGTTCGCAAGAGGGGGTAAGGGCAGGCGTTCCTTTAATCGAGGCGGGGGAGTAGGGTGAAAACAGCGTGAAGCACTACATGCTTTGTATATATATGCATATGTACACACACAACACATATATGTAAACCGGCAGGTGAGTTTAACGAGGTGAGAGAAGCTGTGTGCAAGGCGCCCGTGGGGTTTTTTTTCCTTATCTCTCCGGTTTTGCCTTCCGTAGCGGCTGAAGCTTTATCATGCGGGGGCAAAGCTGAACGACAACTACAGAGGGGTCCTGTTGGTTTAATTTATAATACACGCGGCGCTCTCCTCATTTCTCTCCTTCGCCTGTGTATCACCTTGTGCATGTGTACTCTCTCCCTCCCCCGAAAAAAAAAATCGTATGAAACAAAGTGTTTCTGTTTAACAGGTGTCCGTGTCGCTCACTCGCTATTGGCTGCGATTGGATGAAAAATCCTGGTAGCCATGGAGTTTCTGACAATCTTTACTACACTCGGAGACAACTTTTTGTGGCAGCTATGTTGACGAAAATAGGGCTAAAATTTACTGATAGTTTTCTCATTGGCCTACCTAAATAAATGCTGCTTTATTTATTTTAACAGAAGCAGTTGCGGGAGGTCCTAGATAAAGTACAGTTATTGTTCACTTTGTGAAAATGCCTTGCTTTTCTTTCCATTTCTTAGACAGCCTCACCTTAGTAAACATGGTGTCCTTAACGTAGTGGGGCATTGTGCACTGTTTCTTTCTCCAAGAAAAGTGTACTCATAATATGACTGATGACACGAAAATGTATACTGAACAATCGGAATGTTTCTTACATTCGTATTTGTTGAATATTCAGCTTTATAAACATATTAACGTTACAGGGTGAGCAAGTCCTAAATTGGCCACATACTGTTGTACTATTTACAGAGCTTCACAGATGTGTGGAGGCCCCGCCTTCTTTCCTATGCTCCACTGCCGGATGAGTTGTTGCTGAGTATAGAAGGAAATCTAGTGCTGTGATCGTTCAGCCGTGATGAGAATGATGGGATTTGTGTAGGTTTCATGTATTGGCCTGGAATGTTCTTGTGGCTTTGTTTATTCTTATTTGGACTTTTGTTTGAGGTGACAGTCTTTCTTGGGATATTTCAACGGAGAAATTTTAGTGCGACTGCCTGTGTCTGTTTTATTGTCTGTCACAGGATTCAGCCACCCAGTGAAAGTTTTAAGCTTTGCTTTATGCCCAGCCATCTTGATCTGGTGGTTGTGTTCATATTTGGGAACCTTGTTGATCAAAAATCGATTACTATGCATGTCTGAGGTGCAACATCAATATGTAAGTATTAGGTGGTGTGTTTCTTCACTAGAAGATGCAAAGATAGGTAATTCTAAAGACCCCAGTGTTTCTTATGCTGCACTGACAATGCGGCGCTGTGCACAAAAAAAAGCGGGTGTTTTGTACGCTTCGCTAAGACCATGTGGTGCTGCCACTTAGCGGTGGCTCAGCATTCTGCACAAGCTTTTGTTTCCGGACATGACTGCCAGATGGTGCCCATACTTCATGAAGCGCCTTCATACAGAAGAATTTAGTCCTCCGAGGTTGCAGCAAAGCACGCGGGTACGCGGCCAATTTTTTGATGAATAACAACTCGTGAACGTTGTAATCCAAGGTGTAAACTGCTACTGCTGAAGTTCACCTTGTGATAAAGCCGCTGCAGGCCAAATGAGACATAACCGAAGCCTAGTCGAATCCATTCACTGACCATCAATCCGGGCTGGCTGAAGTTTCTTGCGTTGCAGCTTTTCCATACACACTAGCGACGGATTTACCTCTAAGAAGATCACGGATATATCGAACTCTAAAGGAATCGGGAAATAGTTCTATATATCGATCATTCGAAATACAAAATACGTGCATATTTAAGACCTTAAAGTCATTCCAGGTCCCGGAAATCGTTACAAGCTAGAGCATTACGATTAGCTTGCAGTATAATAAAAAACAAGGTGGGAGCTGCAAGTCGCCGCACTTTGTTTCGCATGAAAATAGTCCGTACACTTGTCCTGCTACTTGCGCGCCGTGCAGTCATCCTCAATATCACCGAAGCTTTTCGAATAAGCGAATTCGGCTCCTTTGGCCACAACAGCGTTCATTGGCACAGAACGTCGATGCAAGCATCGAAGCGCGGCAAAAGGTTGGTTGGCAGCGGAGGCGTTGGCGGTCATAACCGCACGGGTACACTTGCGCGGCAACGGAAGCCATGATCTCGGCACCGATGCGGTCAGAAACGGCTACGTCATCTGCACCGATGAAGTCGCCCACTGTGCGAGATGAGTGGAAACGCTGATAAGTCGCAGAATTCAGAGGCACTGTACACAATTGTTGACGGTCATGACGCACCCGAAGGCGTCCCCAACTTGCAAGGGAAGCTTTTTTTTTTTTCTTCTTGTTCCGCGTACGAGCAAGAATCGCCGCCAGATTCTCCTGGCTGAACTGAAGGAAAGTAATTTTTTTTTTCGTCTTACTGCATCTATTTGGTGTATCAATTCGTATGTGGTAGTGTTACTTTTCTATTTCATTACGGTCTGTTTTTTCTCGGTGCTAAATACCTCCATTTGAGAAATATAGAGGTATTTTTTTCTGGAGACTTGTATGTGAGAAAACTGGTCTAGTTATCGCCGTTGAATCGTATTATACTATCTTATCCTGACTCGTAACTTTAATATATCGCGTAAGGATTGTAATAGAACAGAAGGCAGCAGAAAGGGGGCTGGTATTGCGGCATTCATTCATAAAAGTACAGACTGGCAGAGGGTCAAGCAGAAGTGCAAGGAACATTTATGGCTGAAAGGGAAAGTGGCAGGGCAAATGACACTCCTTGGTTTCGTGTACTTGTGAACGGGAGCAAAGGCCAAAGAGGAAAACCAGGCGATGGTAGAGTGTATATCAAAGGACATTCAGGAGTTAGGAGGAGAGTGCGAGATAATTATACTAGGAGATATGAATGCGCACATAGAAGATATAGATGGGTGTACCGACCCGACAGGCAAATGACAGGCAAAAGGCTTGATTTCATCATTTGCAACAGTACCGAGAAGTGTGAAGGGCAAATAACATGGGAGGTAGGAAGGCTTCAGTCGACGATAGATTATGCGCTGATGTCGCATAAGATGTATGATAAGCTCAGGGGAATGCACATAGATGAAGGTGGCTCCAGAAGTCTGGGTAGTGATCACAAACGTATCAAGCTAAGTTTTGGAAGAGCAGTGAAAGTGGGAAGGAGACAAGATGAGCAACTACAGGAAAATTTTTATCCAGAAAGGCAAATCGAAATAGCCACTAAACAAATTGAGAAAGTAATCACGGAGGATAATAAGACAGTGTGGACATACACGAATCTAATTAGGCTCTTTGAGCTAGAGCTTGCTAAGACGCGTGACAAGTCACCCCGGAAAAGAAGACACAAACCCAAAAGTTCGTGGGATGAGGAAGTTAAGAGAGCCATAGCAAAACGTCAGGAAGCCTCTAGGGAACACAGACATGCTAAGCAGCGGGGCGAACCGACAGATGGTTGAAAGAAAATGGGAAACCTTTCTAAGCTGTAGAAGGGTTGCATTCCTTCTGATCACTGAAAAGATTAGAAGAAAGGGAGCTCAGTGGCTGACAGAAGTAGATAAAAAGATAGAAAGGCAGCTGCGAAATTTCGGAACCATCTAAACTCCCTAAGAAATGAGACGAGCCTAGAGCAGAGTTTTATAACTACAGCCCAAGGTGCTAGGCTAGAAGGGACGAAGCTATTGAATATATAAGAACAAGGGTTACAGAAAAATTCCAACAAAGAAGTACTTTATGCACCACAATAGACAAGGACGAATCAAGTGGTGCAATGGCTCCATTTTCACAACAAGAGTGGGAAAGGGCTGAGAAAAGGGTTCCTAGTAGTACATCAACAGGCCCAGATGGCATTCCAATTAGGCTGATAAAGACATTAGGTCCGAAGTCTAAGCAGGCTTTGAGAGAGGCAGTGAGCACAATAATAATCGATGGTGAAGTTCCCGATTGATGGAAACTTAGCAGGATGACCATTATCTATAAAGGAAAGGGGGACAAAGCTGACATGAACAACTACTGTCCTGTAACAGTGACATCAGTGGTCTACAGGCTGGCGATGCAGATTATAAAGGAAAGACTGCAGGCGTGGATAGAGGATGAGGGTGTGCTGGGGGAACTGCAGAATGAGTTTCGGAAACCCAGGAGGTTGGAAGACAATCTGTTCTCACTGACGCAGTGCATCGAAATAGCAGAAAAGGAACACAGGCCCCTGTGGCTAGCATTTTTCGATATCAAGGGAGCGTACGATAGCGTGGTTCAAGAGGAATTGTGGGGAATACTGGACACACTAGGCGTGGAACATGTAGTCACTAATCTTTTAAAGGGTATCTATAAAGGTAACAAGGTAGTTATAAAGTGGGAAAAACAGGTATCCAAGTCCGCAGAGGTAAAACGGGGGCTTAGGCAGGGGTGCCCCCTGTCACCCTTATTATTCATGATGTACCTACAAGGATTAGAGGCAAAATTAGAGGGAAGTGGACTGGGCTTCAACCTCTCTTTAGTCAAGCAAGGAAAACTCATTGATCAGGCACTACCAGCATTAATGCACGCTGATGATATAGTGCTAATGGCCAACAACAAGGAAGATTTGCAGAGATTGATGGACATCTGCGGTAATGAGGGAGATAGGTTAGATTTTAGATTCAGTAAGGAAAAATCAGCAGTCATGATTTTCAATGACAACGAAGGTAGTGAGCTTAGAATACAGGAGGTCACGCTAGAGATAACAGATAAATACAAATATCTGGGCGTATGGATAAGCAATGGTACCGAGTATCTGAGGGAACACGAAATATACGTGACGACTAAAGGTAACAGGAATGCAGCAGTCATGAAAAATAGGGCACTGTGGAATTACAATAGATATGATGTGAGAGGAATATGGAAAGGGGTCATGGTTCCTGGGCTGACGTTCGGTAATGCGGTCTTGTGCATGAGATCAGAAGTTCAACCAAGATTAGAAATTAAGCAACGTGGAATAGGTAGGCTTGCTTAGGAGCTCACGGGAATACGCCAAATCAGGGAGTACAAGGTGATATGGGATGGACATCATTTGAGGGCAGGGAAGCTAGCAGCAAGATAAAATTTGAGAAGCGATTGAGAGAAATGGGGGAGGAGCGTTGGGCTTGGAAGGTCTTCAGCTACTTGTACATGAAGAATGTCGATACAAAATGGAGGAAGCGAACCAGGAAGTTGACTGGTAAATACTTAGAAAACAGCAGGTGGCCAAACCAAAAAGAACTATCGGTTAAGAAGAAAGTGAAGGAAACGGAGACTGACATGTGGAGAATGGGCATGATTAAGAAGTCCGCACT